TTATTTATTTATTTATTTATTTGAAGATGAGGAGATTAACCCTCTAGCAGTGCACATAAGGTGCATCTGATTGACTTCAACCCCCTTCCTCCTTCCACTCCACCCAACTGCCTTCCAAAGCCTGGAGGGAAGCCACTTGGCTTACAAAGTTCTCTAGAGTATGTAATAATCAGTAGCCATGTTGACTGGGCATTTGTGCACAGAGTTAAAATATGAGTGGCTAAAAGGTCTTTCATTCAAGTCAGTACACTGTTGCCCTTGTTTGTAGTGGGGAGTACAAAGCTTCCCTATTTGGAAACCTACCAGTATCATCTTTACAATTATTGGCCAGTTTTCCACATCAATTACCTTTGCTATTTTAGAAGAAATCTTGATCTGGACCTCCACATCATCGCATTCCAGCCCTTCCTGCATATCCTGTAGTCTTTCCATTTCCAGCTGTATACCTGCAATCAACCAACAGAAATGTATGAGTTCAAAGACTCAGTGGGGGTTACAGAGGCTGCCTGTATTTTGATGTGCTGCTGGATGCCTTTAATAAAGGCACCAAAGGCCGTCTACTAAGATGGCAAGGATCACAGCTGTCATGTACTGAGTGGTTTGTATATGTCCGTCATTATGTTCACTGCTCTGCATAGAATTATCTTACTTATTACTCATTAAAGTCATCCAAGGTAAGCCCTCTTGTTATTGTTCCTATTTTGAAGATGAGAAAGCTGAGGCTGTGAGAAGTAAAGCCATCTGCTGATGCTCATGCAATGAATGAAAATGGAAGACTCAGAATATGAACCTTAGCATGTCTGACACCAAAACCCAGGCTCTAACTCCTGCATCCTACCGTCTCTGTTGTAGTTCCATTTGGGAGTGGGCTAATTTAGGTAATCTGAATCTTTGTAAAAGCAATCTTTGTAAGGGAGTTTACATCAACAACTATACATGTGATTGTTAATATTAGTTTATAAATCTAAACAGTAACAACTTTTTGTTTGTTGACTGAGTATATAATAATTGAGGAAACCAACACTTGAACTTTTTGTGGAGGGCTGTCTAGTGTAATGGAACGCACGTAGATTTTTGAATCAGAAAGATCTGGGCTCAAACCCCAGATTCATTGTTTTCAGCT